ATGAATTCTTTCACAGTTGCTCAGGAATTCCTTCGAAGATTGTGCTAAAAGCAATGAATGTCAGATGGCTCAAGAGATGGTTCTGCTACTGACAAGGCCCCAGGAGGAAGCGTTCAGGACTCAGGGGCATGATATTGTTTTATTAGCCTCACTGCGTTACAGCCCAATGACATCCTATGCATGAAACCTCAGATCCTAAAGGGACCTTCCTTATAACTTACATGTAGCCCAGTCCAGTCACTTGATAGATGAGGCAGGTGACCCAGAAAAAAGAGGTTACTGCAGTTAGTTACTACACACTAGAATCAACCAGGGAGCTTTTAAAAATCCCAATGCCCAAGTGACACCCCAAAAGAATTAAATCACAATGTTTGGGATGAAAGCCAGACACCACCATTTTTTAAAGACCTCCCACTGACTCCTTGCAATGAATGGGCTAATGATTTGTCTAAGATCATACATCTGGGGACAGGAACTCACCATGGTTCAGCTCCATTGTTTTTAGCCAAAACTGGCCTTTGTGCTAGGACATCTTGAGAAATGACGGAAGAGTAAACATAGTCGAGGCCTGCCATAATGATGCTATGCCAGGCACTTTCTATATATTAGATTATCTTTTGCAACTACTCTTCAAGGTGGATACATCAGCTCCATTTCACCATGAAGAATGTGTGTGTGTTTTCATGAAGCCCGTGCATCTTTGCTAAATGTGAAAGAGGCTTTTGAGACTGCCTCAGGGGGACTGCCGTGGTGCTCACTTTAGCCATCCAACATGCGGTGACATTCATTCAGCAAGTGTTTGTGGAGGGTCTACTGTGTGCCAGCCATTGTCCTAGGCTATGTGGATAAAAGGGTGATAAACGAAGCATATAAGGGTCTGTTCTCCCAGAGCTTGTTAGCTAACGAAGGACCCAGAGACGTAACTCAGCAATTCCAAAAGTTTAGGGTTAACACTGCGGTGGAAACTTGTTTTATTCATTTTCACTGAGCCTTGTTTCTTTAAGACTTGTGGCGGCAAAAACACACATAATGAAGTTGTTACAACATAAATAAGAAACATAAATCAAGACTAGGGAATATATAAGTAAGAGGAGAGTCAAGAATAGAAGAAGAAAAATTTATAGTCACGCAAATCATACATAAGGATCCACTTCGGCTGAACCTCAAATTTGGCATTAAGTGTCCTGGCAGCCATATTGAAAAGGGAAACATGGTTAGTTACAAAGCTCTTATTGTCAGAAAGAAAAAGAATGCAAGTTCCTTAGGGAAGGAAGGGCTTCCCTAATACTTGGCTCTTGAAGAAATGTCTCAGGCAGAGCTTCATACAGCCTCTAGCAGTATTTCTATAGTGACTACAGAAGCGGATTTTATAAGACATAGCTTGTAGCATCCTGCAATAAAAGTGAGAACATAAAACCAAAGTGCAATTTAATAAATTCATTTATGTTAGGAGTAGGTGGTAAGAGGTAACTTGATTTGAGCCAAATACAGGTTCAGATGAACCTATGACTAGAAGCTGGAACTCCGGGGAATGGGGGGATTTTATATCCTTATAACAATCTTCACAAACATAATTTCTCTCTACTGCAATTTTGATAATTCAGATGGTTATATTTTCAATCTTCTGGTGTAGGACTGAAGAGCAAGTATTCCATGTTGTGAATAATGTAATGCTTTATACCAGGGGTCAGCAAACATTTTCTGTAAAGGGCTAGGTAGTAAATATTTTACACCTCACGGGCTAGATGATCTCTGCCACAGCTATTCATCTCTGCCACTGTGGCACAAAAGCAGCCATAGACGATATATAAATGAACGGACATGACTGTATCTCAATAAAACTTGATTCATAAAAACAGGTGGCGGGTCAGCCTCTTACCTACAGACTACTACATAGTGCCAACCCCTGGTATAACCTAAAAAATAAATGCAATTATTGGTATTCTTTCACTGAAATTCAGCAACAATTGGAAACTTTGCAAGTCTTGGTCAGTGGTAACTTTGGCCTCATAGTTTAAATGCTATTGGGTGATAACGCATGATGGAAAGAACATGGCTCATGTTTGGGTTGCAAATTCATTAAGTTCATTTAAAGAACATGCAGTTCCCAAAGCAATCCAATACAGCTATTCACACTTCAAAGGGGCGCTCAGCAGACATGGAGCTGGGATCGTTGCAGCACAGAACTAGGCTGGCTCTAAAAAAACCTTTCATTCCATGTAGAGAAGGAGAATTATGATGTTCCTCACCTGGAATGGTCTTGAAAAGCAACGTGGATTCTCAATTAAGATTTCATGGTTGGTTTCCTAGGAAAGAGGGAAGATGCTGGACCATTTCCAGTAGGCTGATGCATGCTATTCACAGCTTTATCACCTTTCCAAGTGAGAAATCTATTCCAGGCTACCAGACATACGTTCTAACAATCTTCTAGGCGTGTAGCATGTAATACAGTGAAAGATATTATAAGTAACCTCAGGGGAAAAAAATAATGTTATTTCATTTTTAAAAGGCTTAGTTATAAGCAGATAACACATGTTTATAGTTTGTTATGACCTGAATTTTTAAATTTCCCCTCACTGACCAAATATGGATTTGAAAGTTTAATTGTTTAATGGGAGCTACTTTAAAGGGTTGAGTCTGGGGGCTTAGAAGAGGTAACCCCAAGTGACTTGGAATCTGGAACAGGTGGATTAGGACCTCATCCTTAGATATTGTTTTAACCTATGGATAAGCCACAGTTCTGAGCAGAGTCATGTTCTCATGTGCCCCATGTGTAGTGACAATGGGAATGTAGACTTAAACATAAGTAACAGCTTCAAAAGAGTTTGTAAAGACAAGGCTATGAATATTAATATAATTGTGAGACCTTTGGGACTTTATTGTCAGCTTGAACATATTTTGATATATATTGCTTTGTAGACAGTAGATAATTGCTTCATTTTCTCCATTTGGAATTTTGTAACTATTCACCTCTCCAGCAACATAAGGTGGTTAAGAAGACAGTTTCTATTCTTTGTAATGAACTACTCTAGGCTTAAAGAAGGCAAGTACTGTGTCTTTATATTCATATACCCATGATTTAGCCCAGTACCTAATCCATAAAGGACACTCTAAAATGTTTGCCCAGTGAATAAATCCTGGATATTATCCTGATTGCAAAGCCAGTATTGCAGAGTGATTGCTTGCCAGTAGGGGTGGTAGCTCCCTTTGGTTACACAAATTGTGGCAGACACGGAACCACTCCAAAAAAACTGAAGCTTTTTGTTTGGGGATTGAAACAAAAAAGCCTACAAACCTTAAAAAAAAAAAAAAAAAAAAAAAAAAAAAGCAGAAAGCCACTCAGATGGAACCATAGTGTCTCCCAGCAGATATCACCAGATGGAGGTGGGGTAAAGAATTGCAGTCACATATGTAGCAGGTATATATATATTTTTACTAATGGCTCATTCTTAAACAGGGCTTGAGGCCAGAGAAGTTTCAAGGATGCATTGCTTAGGGAGAATGTCTGATATCCATGTCTCCTGAGACATCTAAGTTTTCTGAAATAACAAGTCACCAGATATATTTATTTTGTTCCTTCCTCTTCCTTCCCCTGACCCCTGCCAATATGCTTATTTACAAGTTACCTTATCAGTTGTCTTAGGAGAACACATTTCCTTCAACAGAAGTCACAGTATGATCTTATGGTGGTAATTTTACAATATCCCTGCCTCTACTGAGAAGAGATACTTAGAGAATGGAGATGTACTGAGCCAAAGAGGAATTAATACTACGCAGCACTGGTAGGTGTGGCCACAGGTCTGGCCCCACCCCTCTCTGGTGTTCAGGCCAAAGAAGAAGTCTAGCAAGAAGTGTGAAAGGAAATTAAATCTTGGGACCTCCAAACTCATTAAGCCAAAGGGAAAAATTCAAGCTGGGAACTGGGTCACACAGCTGCATGCCTCCCCCATATTTTGCCCATAAGGAAATTCCTGGTGAGCTGCTAGATCTTTACTTTAAAGGTGTTTCTATTAAAATTTTACCATGGCAATGTAAATTGATAGCTTATCTTTATAGGTGCAGTCACCTGTAAAGTCACCAGACACAAATGCATATCTGATTGTTCCCCTAGTCGATTTTTGTCTATGTTATCTTATGTAAAATGCAGATTTCCTGCATTTTTCCTCTACCACATTTGTCTGTGTCATCTTATATAAAAAAAAAAAATGCAGATTCACTGAGCCAGACAAAGGCATGAATGACTATTTTTCCCTATCCTCTTACATGAAAATTATGTACTTCTCAATATCTCGCCCTTTCCACTTTAAATTTGGAGCCCTCAAAATCATCTTTGGAGAAAGGCATGACCTGTCTCCCAGGTGCATGTCCTTAACTTTGGCAAATAAACCTCCTAAAATGATTGAGACTTGTCTTGTCATTTTTCTTGATTGACAGAAGAAAGGACAGAGCCAAGAGAATTGGCAGTACACTGCGCAACCCCCGGAACCTAGCTGAGGCTCCAGCCCTGCGCACTTCGTTGTAGGGTTCCCTCACCAGCAGAGGAATGTGGAGCCTAACCTCATGCTGGGATAAGTTTAATGGCAATCCGTCTTACTGTAATAGATGAATTGCCTACTTCTATTGCATTCACAGATTTACAAGGGACACACTTTGCCCGTTGGAGTATTTATTGAATATCATTTCATCCTTGTGACTGCTACCTCTTTCTGATTCCCATATCATCAGACCAGGAGAACTCGAGTATCCGTTCATGGTTTTGTTCCTAACACTTTCCCCACATTAACCAGAAAGCAATGGAAATAGAATAAAGAAACAAATGGGTAACTCTAAGTAGGTTCATCACATTTATCACATGCCCTGCACCCAGAGCCAATTAGAAATGGTCTTGATTCTGATTGTGTTGAGATACAAAAACATGCTGATTTCTATGGCAAGTATTAATGATTATTACCTGTGTATTCATTTGCTCACTGCTCCATTCTGGATTTTCTCCGTCTCAGGGCCTGAGGATCATTTTCTCGGACGCGTCACGGCTCATCTTCCGGCTCAGTTCCTCCAGTGGTGTGCGGGCCACCCTCAGACTGTACGCAGAGAGCTATGAGAGGGACCCCAGCGGCCACGACCAGGAGCCACAGGTACAGAAACAGTTGTGCTCACAGCAGTGTGTCTCACGGCTCCTGGCAAATTTAGAAAGCGCTATGGGCCTTTAGTAGGGGCTATTTTACCTTCTGGAAAGGTACATGATAGATTCAGCTGGACAACAAGCTCAGTGTGACTCCAAGCAAGTTTAATTCATTCATTACAGTGTTAGAAATGGAAATGTTGCTCTCTTGCATCTATTAGTAATCAGTTTAGACCAGCATTTCCCAAACAACAGTTCTCTCTTGACTGTTCAGTGGTTTGTTAATTGGGGTGAAGAAAAGGCACCTTTTATAGACAAGGAAATTTTGAGTTAGAGTCAAACAGGTGAAACTCTCAGAGCCTTGACTATGCTCATGCAAATTTTGAATCTCCAGATATTTGGACCATGACCTTGAGGTGCCAATACAGATAAGCTTTGTCTCTGAGATTGCTATGTTGTCCACTGTGAGAGGAGAGGATATAGGTGGCCTTTTAAGTTAAGGAAGGACATTGACAAGGCTAAGTCACACTGTGTTTGGCAAAGTCTCCTCATGTTTTCAACAATAAGGCTAATTAAGAACTCAGAAAAATAATAAATGGCACAACCATAAGCCTCTCCACTCCCATATTCATTAAAGCTCCAGCAACATTAATTAATACCAGAAATGACTGACTCTAAGGATGACTACTTCGAGCTATACAGCTGGCTGCTCCTGTCTTCTTGGTCTTCACTTCAATCTGGGTTTTGAAGCAGGGTCCTTGATGAGACGACTGAGATGAAAACATTGGTTCTACCTGCCCTACTTCCTCTGTCAAAAAGTAAAGAAGCACAGAAATACTCACTGCTACTCAGTTTAGAGGTGCTCAGAATTTCCAGCTACGATTTGCCCTGATGGAGTAAGATACCTGGGAGGGTTTTCTTTCTTTGTCAGTAGTTTAGTATTTTTTTTCATGGTCTGTTTTTTTGGAGAATCTCAAAGAACTTGGTGATAATGGATGCCACAGACCCTTACACCTGACCCTACAGCCAGGATATCTGTCTGGAATAAAATCATCCTAGATGGGACAGTAGAGGCTAGAGGGGGCTGAGAGCTGTTCTCACGGTTATCAGGAGCAGGAGTAGGCAGAGCACGTGGCCAGCATGAAGCCCTTGGCTCTTCCTCCCAGGATCATAGCCTTCCTGTGCAGGGGATGGGCCATACTCTGCCAAAATAATTTGTTAGTGAGTGCATTTCGCCCAAGATAGTACCAAATCATGCAAGAATTTGAGGCTTACCCTGTCTTTCCGAATAAAACACTATTCTACATCTCATGCTGGGGAGGGAGATTAAAGCAGGAGCCTAAATGTCCAGAGCTACGTACAGGGTGAGGAATGATATTCCTGGCCTCAGTAACACTGACTCACTCTGACTCCAGGCTATTTTTTCCTCAACATTCTTTTCCCTATTTGCACAGGGTAAGTGGTTATGATATTTGCTTATTTTTATTTACCTTCCACACTGGACTGACTGAGACCAGGCCATTAGACAAGTGTCACAACAATCCTGCACACACGAGTCTCTCCCTGAGGCAGTCCACAAAAGCAGTGCTTTTTTTTTTTTGAGGCTTCCTTTGCAGCTGAAAACCTCCATCAGCCTACTCTTAGAAGGTCATGTGAATAAAAGAAACATAAGTAATGCTCGTTTTGATCCTCATGACTGCACATTTCTTTCATCCTGTTGGTGGAAAGAATTTGCCACTTTGAAGGGCTGGCAAATCCCTTCACTGATGCTGCTGTTGCGATGGCTGATTTCCCCTCTCTTCTCCTCAGAAGCAAGAGTTTTCCTAGACCTGGCTAGATGGGCCTCCGAGTATGTAGCACATAACCTAGCTAAAAGTTTTACATTAAAAAAGAACTCCTTATTAAAATATCATACAGCATTGACTCACCAACTTAAGCCCTATTGCATAATACATTTGAGTCAGGATATAATATAGAGTAAGATTTTCAAAGAAACCTAACCACTAGGGAAAAGCAAGAAGATTCTCTCAGCAGGCCAGCCTGTCTTAATTATTGCTCAACTCTACCTAAGCCTTTAAGTTGGAGCATTTTTGGGGCTTCTTATAGGGTTGCTTTCCAGGACCACCTGCTTCTGCCTTCCATGAACTCTGGAACAAAAAGTCTTTGATTAACTGTTAACAGAGATCAAAGTAAGATGTACTCCTGAAGCTGCTAGCATTATTCCTGGTCAGGGCCTGACTGGAAGGACCTGCTTGTGTTGCTTTCTCAGCCACAGAAACAGCCCCTTCCACCTTCTCTAATCTGCAGAGATTCCATTGCTAATTTTATTCCAATTCAACAGGTAGTTTTTCACATTTTACCCACTCTAACTCAATAGCCATCTACACTCAAGTTATTTTCAAGAGAATGGAGAGTTCCCTTCAACTGGCTTATTAGCATCTGGCTATTATACTTTGCCCATAGATAGTTTCTTTTCCAGACATTTTGAACACATGTGAACAGAGCATGTTTTAAACATTCACATTGATTGCCTTGCAGACATACTCATACAATCCTAGTGATGCAATTAGGAAAACTTGTGATATAATCTATGTGCATTTAGACCATACACTCACATGTAGATTTTTCATTTGCATCCTTTTGTAGAACAACTATTACGCTATTTGTTTTAAGTTCTTACCTACATCAAATAATTTCTTACCTATGTCAAAAGTATTTTTAAAAAATTCTATTCATATGTGCCTACAAATTGGTGGTAAGGAGAGAACAGACCGAGGAGGGGCCTGATGAGATGAGCAGGTGCTTGTCCCATCCCACTCTGTGTCCTTGATGAATCAGGAAAGACAGCTTCCAAAGGCTTGTTGCTTAAAGACTACCGGATTTTTAAAATACAAGTTTGCTTTAATTTTACCAGCAATCAGTAGGCCTTCAAGGAACCCTCAAACCAGCTGGTAATCATTTGGAAAAAGGAATAAGCCAAAAGGGTTTAAAATCACAGGTAACCAGAAACAGTACAATTGTTTCCATCTTCTTTCCCATCCAGTTTAATAGCAGGGCTGCTAAATGAGCTTTTTGTTGACCTTCTTCCCTTGTCCCTTTCAGCCTGTGGGTGGAGTAGTTAAGGAACAATAGAAGATCCAAAAGGAAAAGGAAGGAGAAGTTTTGTTAAGGGCTAGGAAAATCACAGACTGATAATCAGCCTGTGGTTCATCAACCCTTGGCTTTAGTACTTTCACTGCAGAATACAGTCACACCCCATCTCACCCCAATCCTTGGGAGGGGCCTGGTTTTCCCCAGTCTTCCTGAAAATTGAGGCATTTAAGTATTGGTTCGTTTTTGCTTTTTTTGAGACAGAGTCTCACTCTGTCACCCAGGTTGGAGGGCATGATCTCAGCTCACTGCAACCTCCACCTCTTGAGTTCAAGGGAGTCTCCTGCCTCAGCCTCCCAAGTAGTGGGGATTACAGGTATCTGCCACCATGCCCAGCTTATTTTGTATTTTTAGTAGAGACAGGGTTTCACCATGTTGGCCAGGCTGTTTCATCATGTTGGCCAAACTCCTAACCTCAAGTGATCCACCTACCTCAGCCTCCCAGAGTACTGGGATTACAGGCGTGAGTCACGTCACTCAGCTTTAAGTATGTATTTTTGATAAGCTGTACCTGGAAGGCTTTAACGACTAATACCTAAGCACCAGGTCCCTCATCTTTATTCACTTGTCAAACCAAAGGCCATCTGTTATTTTGTTCTTTCTGTTCTTAATAAGATTTTATAATCCAGAAACAAAGTATAGAACCACATAGGGAGAACATATACTTTGTCATCTAAACCAGAATACAGGTGCTCCTAGATTTACAACAGGGTTACACCCCAATAAACCCATCGTAAGTTGAAAATGCATTAAATATACCTAACTTACGGAACATCATAGCTTAGCTTAGCCTACCTTGAACAAACTCAGAACACTTACATTAACCTATGGTTGGGGAAAATCATCTAACACAAACCCATTTTATAATAAAATATTGAATATTTCGTGAAATGTATTGAATACTGAAAGTGAAAAAATTTTTGTATGGGGACTTACAGTATTGGTTTCTACTGAATGTGTGTCACTTTCACACCATCATAAAGTTGAAAAATCATTAAGTCGAACCACCAAAAGTTGTGATCTGTACTTTTGTGAGTCAAAGATGGTAACTGTAATTATGTTTAGATTGTCCCCAGTAAACCAGGAGACATGATGACTCTAGCTTCCGGCCTTCATCCTCTGTTAGAACCACACACCTCTTTAGAGATGGCTTTCCAAGAGCACTGGCAATGACACCTGGGAGTAAAGAGAAAACATTCAGAAGTGAGAAGAGTCAGCTCAGTGGTTCTCAGCCCAGGCTGCACATCGGAGCCACTCGGCAGCTTGTGCTTCGGCCCCAGTCCTAGAGATTCTGCTTTAATTGTTTTGAGGTGGGACCTGCAGTTTTAAAAAAGTTTCCCAGATGATATTAATTAGACAAGTGCATCTCAAACTTTAATAACATGCCAATCACTTTGGGACTGTGTTAAACTGTGGATTCTGACTCAGGTATGAGGCCAGCTAGAGAGTTTGCATTTCTAACAAGCTCTCAGGCAATACTATGCTGCTGGTCCAGGAGCCACCGTTGAATAGCAAAGAGCTAGGTGAACTGTGAAGCACTAACAGCAGGACCTTGAATTCTTTAAAACTGTAGAATAAGCAGCACCTGTTTTTAGTACCTTTCCACACATCGATCTCTGTCTTCTGGACTTCTATTTCCATTGCTTATTGGATTCCACCTGAATGTCTGATAGACATCACCAACTTGACATGTGCAACATTGAACTCCCACCAGCCTCCTGCACAATCCTCCAAAACAAACGCCAGCATCCTGCTTCTTTCATTCTTATCCATCTCAATCAATGGCAGTTCCATTCTTCCAAATGGTTCAGCCAAGAAAACCCCTAGGATTCATCCTTGACTTCTTTCCTCTCTTTCACGCCCTAATCTTCTAATTCAAGAATAACGTGACCATCAAACACACCCAGAATCTCACCCCATCTTACCACCTCCACCATTTCCACCCACTGTTCTCTCCTCTAGAGCAATACATAGTCTTTTAACTGGTCTCCTCTCCACTCTTGCCCATTCTCTACCCCCACCCTGTTCTCAGCATGGCAACCAGAGTGATTCTCCTAAAACATGTTAAGCCGCCTCATAGCTCTGCTAAAATCCTCCCCTCCACCTCATTCAGAGGAGCCCAAACCCTTACCATGATCTTGAATGACATAGTGGAAATGGTCCCCTTCTCCCTCTGACCTCATCTCCTATCTCTTTTCCTGCCTCGCCTCTCTCTCCATTCCAACTGCTGTTGGGTGAACATGACAAGAACACTCTGCCTCAGCGCTTTCCCTTCCGACATCTTCATGGCTTGCCTCCTTACTTCTCAGTAAGGATGTCCCTGGCCACGTGATATAAAATAGCCATAGCCCTCACATATAGGTATTTTTTTTTTCTTTGGAGATGGAGTCTCGCTCTGTTTCCCAAGCTGGAGTGCAGTGGTGGCATCTCGGCTTACTGCAACCTCTACCTCCTGGGTTCAAGGCATTCCCCTGCCTCAGCCTCTCGAATAGCTGGGACTACAGGCATGTGCCACCATACTCGCCTAATTTTTGTATTTTTAGTAGAGATAGGGTTTCACCTTGTTGGCCAGACTGGTCTCAAATCCCTGACCTCAGGTAATCCACCCACCTTGGCCTCCCAAAGTGCTGGGATTACAGGTGTGAGCCACTGTGCCTGACCACACAGGTACGTCTTAACCCCTTACCCTGGTTTGCTTTCTCCATGGAATTGATCCTCATCTTACTTGTTTATTTATTTTATTTTATTGTCTGTCTCCACCCAGTAGAATGGAAGCACTAGGACGATGGGACTTTGTCAGATTAGTTCCCTGTATCCCCAGTGCACCCGGTATATGGTAAATACCCAATGCAGTTTTGCCAAATTATTGCAATATTGAGCATTAATTACTTTGGAATATTTCAGCCCAATTATATCATACAAGAAGCTGCAATATCCTGTACTCAGAATGAATGTTGGTGCTATCATCGGGTTTCCTCCCATGACTGAGGTTTTGAATAAAATAAATGGCATTTTTAAGGCCCCTACACTGCACGGGCTTCATTCTAGATACATCCTTTATCTTATTCATCGTTCCAGCTGCCCCATGGCAGAATTATCATCTACTTTTCTAGGAAAGGCAACTGAGTCAGGGAGCATTTTAGATTCATGGGGTGGGTAGTTTCTGGATTGGAGGTTCATATTAGGTCTTTCTTATAACAAAATCCACGTTGTCCATGTTAACGTTGAAGGCCCAGAAGATAATTTCTTCTTACCTGTGCTTGAGTCCAAGGCTACGGCTGGAGCCTCAGTTCAGTGTTATTGAGAGGTTTTTTTTCTCAGCTCAATCTATTCTACAATTCTCTGACACCAACTGGGTGCAACGATTACAGGTGTGAGCAATTACAATTCAAGTCAGTTCTGACATTATCTGGATTTAGCCCAGACCCCACAGGTTAAGGGCTCAGTCTCACAAGATTGCTTCTACTACAAATGCCAGCTGCAAATGGGGTGCCCAGGCTACCCACATTTTTTTGCCTTGCCAACTACAAATTTAGGGTTTTCTACAACTCCCCCCACCCTCCTTCAGATTTAATAATTCACTTGAATGACTCCCTGACCTCAGGACAGTGCTTTGCTTAGCATTACTGGTTTATTATAAAGGCTAGAGCCCAGGACCAGCCAAATGGAAGAAATGTATAGGGCCAGGTGTGGAGAAGGAGTGCGCAGCTTCCATGCCCTTTCTGGGTAAGACCTCCAGCACCTTGATGTGTTCACCAGCCTGGAAGCTCTTCGAACCTTGTTGTTGACAGGTTCTTATGGGGGTTTCACTAGGTAATTATGGTTAATTAAATCACTAGCCCTTGGTGGTTGAATTTGGTTTCCAGCCCTGCTCCCCTCCCTATAGGTCACAGGGTGGGGCTGAATGTTTCAACCCCCAACCACCTGTTTGGTTCCTCTGGCAGCCAGCCCTCAACCTGAAACAATGTTGGGGCCCACCAAGAGTCACTCATTAGCGTAAAGTCTGGTGTGGCTGAAAAAATAAAAGACACTCCTATCAGGAAGTTCCAAAGGTTTTAGGAGCTCTGTGCCAGAAATTGAGGACAAACGCCAAATATATTTGTTATTCCACACTGTTAAAAGAATGTTAGCCTAAAGCTGCCTCCTTACATAAGTTAAGCTTGGCCCAAGGTTTCTCCATACATAGCGAACTATGACTTAACTGGATGTGTAAACAGAATGTAACCTACTCTCCTGACAAGTAGCGAAGTCCCAGCCAATCACAGTGGCTGATCTCAGCCAATTACAGGCAGCCAATTTTTCAAAATGTGTTCAAATAAGGCAAAAACTGAGCTGTAACCAATCCAGCTGTTTCTGTACCTCACTTCTGCTTTCTGTACTTTACTTTTCTTTTTCTGTTCATAAATGTCATCTGACCTCGTGGCAGCTCCGAGTTGCTCTGATCCTATCTGGTTCTGAAGGCAGCCTGATTCGATAATTGTTCTTTGCTCAGTTAAACTCTTAAATTTAATTTGTTTAAGGTTTTTCTTTTAACAGCAGTTTGAAAATTGAGCAGTGCCTTAAAAACAACCAGTTTTCGGTACTAATATTGAATAAGCAAGGAATAGGATTTAAAAACATTATGAAAAGAGTAATGTTCTAAATACATATTGATTATGTTTTCTAGTTCATAAGGGATCTGTAGTGAGTGGTCAAAACTTGGAGGATAAAGTAGAAATGGACATAATACATATGATGTGAAAGAGAAACAGAAGTGACACAAATCGGCATTCACTTAGCCATTCACTTTCATGACAAGATAAAGATTTATGTATATGTGTGTGCATGCATGTGTGTATGAGAACATAATTTTGGAATCATACTAGATATATATGATTTAAAGAGCTAAAAGTTGTGCCTCGATCCTGGCTTTGGGTCAAGTTTGGATTACAGTTTATAACTCCTGAAACCCTGAAAAAAATTATATTTTCTCTCCTTGCTTTCCCATATGTAGTTAAAAATGAAAACAAATTTAGATTTAAGAATAAATGAAAACATGTTGTTATTTAAAAAGAAAGCGTGAGCACGGACCTATGAATAGCCATATATTTGAGGGAAAACATGAGGAAATACTTCATTTTATTTTTCTCCTCAGAATGTGGTTGGTATTGCTGCACTTTGGAACTATGGGGGAAAGCAAATGTTGAAGAGAGAGTTTAGAAGAGAAACACTTGGTGAAGAGTTGGGCTCTAAACTCTACGACCAAGTGAAGGAGCTGGCTCATTCTGCTTAGAAGTGAGATGTGACTTGGAGGTCTTCAAGAATGTAAAGAATAATGTGAGGTGGGGAAAGACAACCAGCTGTTCTCCATAACTAATGAATATGTAATTTGAGGAAATAAACTCAAGCTGAACTGGAAGGGATTCAGGTTGACTGTTAGGACAATTTCTCAATAGTGAAGCCTCCTGCCCAGTTAGGATGGCTGGTTTGTGCTTTTCAAAGTCTGCTTTGCCTACATGTATTCAAATAATTCCAAAACAGGGGCAAGAGTAGGAAGGATTGAGCAGGATAATAACTCAAAGTATGTGTCAATCTTAAACTTTTAGTTGTGTAATTATTTTTTTCTTTTTTTAAAGAAAGAAGAAACAAGAAACAAACAAGCTCTGGTCAGGTGGGTTAGATTTCCCTCTAGTGGTGTAGAAAGGAATTTAGTATGGCTGTGTTTTCATAACTGGCTCATGGAGAGGAATTAAATTTGGAAAGACACAAAGATGTGCAGGTTTACTTCTGTTTCTACTTAGATGAGTACTTCCTGGAAAGGCAAATAAAGCGCCAGGCAAACAACCCTTCTTTTTCTCCCTTAGATATTGAAATCTGGACTCATACTCTGCCATTACTACATATTGTTTTCCCTGGAGCTGAGAACACTCCTGGGATGGTTGGTCATCTGACGGCGTGTAAAAAACTACCTTGGTTGGGAATCTGGTAGAGTCTCCCAGGGCCTAGTGTCTATCATAGACCAGGGCTTTTTAGAGTTTTGATGACAATAAGACTTTTTCCTGGCCAACCATTGTGATCTGACCTTCTTTCAAGGTACTGAGTATGTGAACCGTTGTGTATCCATACTATACACACTCTAGGACTTGTGGGAAACTATGGACTGCCACTTTAAACCATTCACGTTAATCCCACAGACACAACCAATCTAAAATCTCCATTTATGGCAATATATACAAACAAGGCCCTTCATTCCAAATCTTGCAAGAGTGTCTTGCCATTGCCAGCTTATCCCAAGAACTAGTGGTCTTAAGAACAGAACATTGAAGAGCCAAAAAGCATGCCTTGATCCTGACTTCGGGTCAAGTTTGGATTATAGTTTAGAAAGCCTGGACCCTAAAAAAAATTGTATTTCTCCCGCCTACTTTATATATGTACTTAAAAAAAAAAGCTCTAGGCTGGGCGCGGTGGCTCACGCCTGTAATCCCAGTACTTTGGGAGGCCAAGGCGGGTGGATCACGAGGTCAAGAGATTGAGACCATCCTGGTCAACATGGTGAAACCCCGCCTCTACTAAAAATACAAAAAATCAACTGGGCATGGTGGCGCGTGCCTGTAATCCCAGCTACTCAGGAGGCTGAGGCAGGAGAATTGCCTGAACCCAGGACGCAGAGGTTGCGGTGAGCCGAGATTGCGCCATTGCACTCCAGCCTGGGTAACAAGAGTGAAACTCCGTCTCAAAAGAAAAAAAAAAAAAAAAAAAAAAAAAAAAAAAAAAAAAAACTCTAAAAATAAATATAAGGAAACCTAAAACTTTTTGATTTTTTTCTTTATAATGCTATTCTAATTTCCAAAATACTAAATATCAACTTCTTATCAAAATATCTTTTATTTTGGTGATGGTTTTTCTGTGTCTAAAGCACATGCTGAACTAGCTATTGGTTAACCCACTGATGCTTGTGTCCACATATCACTGAATCTTGCTGGATCTTGTTTACTCAGCCTGAAAAAGGAGCATGAATGAATTTGCAGTGGTCACACAGGTCCAAAGGGCCACTGGGTGTCACTTCTCTTGCCAGATGAATGGGTTTGACAAGCTGTGTCCAGCACAATCTGGCTTTCCCAGCAGCCTCTTTGTTCCAGCCCAGATGCACAGCACAACCATGTTTCTGTGCCTTTTAGGAGAAGGCTACCCAGGCCTCATGAACTGGGGGTGATTCCGGTTTTCTTTGAAGTGGTGTCCTTCTTTGGTGTACAGTAAATCACTTGCTTTGCTTATATACTAAATAAGAGTATATCTCAACAAATGAACACTGACAGAGAACCTGGAGGTCGGCTGTGGCCTTCAGAAGGAAGCTCTGGACTAGTGTGTGCAATCAGCCAGCATCTGGAGGCAGCTTTGCCTGGGCTTCCCACCACGGTCATGCTTCATTCACATGGAGAATACAGGATCTGAGCTGTCAAAGGGAGAATGTGGCTGTTTTTGCTCTCCGGTCTACTCTTGGCTGAGTGTAAATTTGATGTTCTAATCCCAGAATGAGAACTCCTGTTCAAGATGCAGGTGAGGGAGCTTCCCATCCCTTGTATTTGACTCCTCCAAATGCTGGCAGGCCTGACAAACTCCAGGGAGCAGCATTTCAATGGCAGAATGCTCAGGCCTTGGGCAGGAGGGAAAGAAGCTAGAGGTTTATACAATTCTGGTGCTGTGTTTCTGTTTCTGATTTTATTTTTGAGCACTTTTGTTGATACAAGTCACCGTGTGAGGCACACTTTGATGGGCTGGGTCTGGGCACTCACTGTCATGATATGCGATGGAAGGTAGATGAGGCTGAAAGAATGGCTGAAAATGTAGGCTTCATTATTATTCAGGTGTGGGGAGGCTCACAGATCATGAGATGCTTGCCACTGAAGAAATAACTTGTTACTCACAGTTCCCAAGAGGAGGAGATACAGCATGCCACACAGGGCCACACAGGGAAGCGCCAGGGTCGGACAGGAGGCAGAATGAGCCAAGGGAAAAGGTGGGTGAAGCCCTTACTGGGCATTCTGTGGGAAAGGCAAGGTAAGCATGGTGAGCAGGTTTAGAATTAGCTTGTTTGAATAATTTCAGCAGGCTCTGGGGCATAGGGACTGTCTTTAATTGCCTGACACCTAGCCTTGGGGTGATTAGGGCAGAGAAATAGTGGCCCAAGTATGAGAGCCCTGTGAGATGCTGACAAAGGAAACGTTTGGTTTGCATCTGGAAGGCAAGCTCCAGGGTGTGTGGTTTGCTATCTCTACAAATTAGCTAACCCTGGGAGGAACGAAACCTTCCAGAGCCAGCCAGGCCCCAAGGTGTCAAAGCATTAGGATAATAAGACCAGCTTCATAGCCAGAGGAAAAGATAAAACCACTGTCGCTTTCTCAGGTGCCTAAAATTGTTAGGGAGCACCCCAACAAGATTATGTTTTTTCACATACCATCAAAGCTGGATGGCCTCTGATTCAAAGGTTGGGCTTTGAAATCAGCTGTCTTTGTTTTGAGTCCTAGTTCTGCCATTTTCTAGTTTTGTGACTTTGGGCAACTTAATTTCTCTATCAGTCAAATGGAGATAAATATACTTCTTATTTTATATTGTTGTAATGATTAAATCAGATAATTCATATGTGTAGAGAGTTTTGCACAATGCCTGTGTAAATCAAAGAAAATGACCAAGGTGAGTCTCAATCATTTCAGGTGTTTATTTTGCCAGGGTTAAAGGTCATGGCCTGTGACACAGCCTCAGGAGGTCCTGAGAACACAACCCCAAGGTAGTTGGGTTACACTTGGTTTTATACATTTTAGGGAGATAGAAGTTATAGACAAAGACATAATCAACACATGTAAAGTACATATTGTTTTGGCTCAGAAGAGCAAGACATATCAACGTAGGGGAGACTTTCAGGTCATAGGTGGATTCAAAGATTTTCTGATTGGCAATTGGTTGAAAAAGTTAAGCTTTGTCTGAAGAGGTAACTTCAGTATAAACAAACGCCTGAGTTAAGATAAAGAAAGTTGTGGAAGCTGAGGTTCTTGTTATGTAGATGAAGCCTGTAAGTAGCAGGCTTCAGAGAGAAGAGATGGTAAATTACTCTCATTACACCTTGAAAGGTGTCAGACTGTCCAGAAAAAATCTAGCAAGAGAAGGGGATTCTCTACAGAAGGCAGATTTCTCCTACAAGAGATGGCTTTTTAGAGCCTTTCTAAATTATTTCAGAGAAATATATTTTGGGGTGAAATGCTTTGATTTCTTTCAAAGCATGTTATCTGTCATCTGATGCTATATCAGGGTCAGGTTGAAATTTGGTATCTTATTGCTACAAAGAATCTGTTCTGTCAGTTTTAGAATCTCTAAATATCAATGCCTAAGTTCCAGAGAAGATATATTGAGGCATATCCTACCCACTTTTCCTGTCATGGCCTGAACTAGTTTTGGGTATCCTTTTGGCCAATAATGGGGGGCAGGGAAGAGATGTCCATTAAGTCAGTTTGGGGCTTAGAATTGTATTTTTGGTTTATACCTAACGTGAATAAATGCTCACTAAATGTCGATTGTCATTAAAGTTATTGTTTCTGGCATACTTTTATTAATAATGGTGTAGATTAGTTTTCTTATCACATGAGGATAAAAGATTCCCAGATAAAGCAATTTGTTTTATAATGCAATTGACTTGTCATTTTCCCACCTATTAACACCTGGGAGAGCAAACTGGGTCAATGGGAACTGTCCTGAGAGAACTGACAGCTTCTAAAAGCTTAGATCTTCTCTGAGAGCTGCCAGGGCTCTCCTGACATGACATTTTAGATGTACCACGCTTTGTCAAAAGGTTCAAGGATGAAGTGGAGTTTCTTGACTTGTCTCTCCATTCATGGAACAAATTCACTGCCCTCCTGGCTTGGAGTAAGAGGTAGTAAGTAGGGGTTGTTTGGTGATTTCATTTCATCCAAATAATGTGCAATCTGTTGGTTGTTCCAAGGTCTTTTACTAGAGAGAAAGGGCTTGAACACTGGAGTGGGTGTGTGATGAAAGGCAGGTTCATTGAAGAAAGGACCCCTGAAATGTCTTTGACTAGCCAGGAGGCATGTGCTTTCTGGCTTCAAGGGGTTAAACAGAAAGACTGGTCTCTTGGAGCAGGAGTCAAGTTTTTTCTAAATAGGTCCAGAGACTAAATAGTTTAGGCTTTGCTAGCTGTATTAGTTTGCTAGGGCTGATGTAACAAGTACCACAATCTGGGTGGCTTACAAAGCAGGAACTTGTTTCTCATTCTGGACGTGAGAAGGCTGAGATGAGCATGCTCACAGAGCTGGTTCCCTCTGAGGGCTGTGGGGGAAGGATCTGTTGATCTGTTCCAGGCCTCTCTTTTTGGCTTATAGATGGCTGTCTTTTCCTTGTATCGCTTCATATGATTTTCCTTCTTGTGTGTCTCTGGGTCCAAATGTCCCCTTTTTATAAGGACGCCAGTCATATTGGATTAGAGCCCACCCTAATGACCTCATTTTAACATGATTACCTATGTAAAGGCCTCATCTTAAAAATCATGTCACATTCTGAGGTATTGGCAATTAGGACCTCAACATATGCACTTGTGGAAGACAAAGTCAACCCGTAACGTTAGTCACGTGGTCTGTGTTACAACTCAACTGCCACTGTTGCACAAATGCAGCCACAGATGATACATAAATGAATCAGTGAAGCTTTATTCCAATAAAACTATAGGCACTGTAATTGAAACTTAAGATAATTTTAACATGTCACAATATATTTTTTTTTTTCCCAATCGCTAAACATAAAAACCATTTTTATGGGCTACACCAAAACCAGGTGGTGGCCTGGGGTTGGCCTAAGAACTATAATTTGTTGACCTTTACCTTATAGGTTTTGGAATATGATACATTATTCACAATTTCTGATTACATTCAGTAAAGCATGCATCAACATGAGTTTGGCTAAACGATACATACTGTAAAATTTAAAATTACATTTGTGTTCATGTATATGTGTATAGATAGATGAATTTTAAAGTTTTAGGGGAAAAACAATCAAATCTCTCTGGAAATCTCCAGCACTGGGCTTCTGAGATTGAGCTCCATAGCTTTTGATTGCAACCCAACATGAAAGGGAACTGTCACAGATTACGTTTGTATTCACGAAATCAAATTCCTTTTTGAGGTCTTTTGTTTCTTGTCAGAGGGTTCTTCGTTTTTCTTTTGAAAGCAGTTGCTTACACGTGATTTTCAGAAGAACAGCACTATGTGAGAAGAAAAGGGAAAAATGTTCGGGGGTAAATGGAATGAAAAACAGTGAATGTGAGCCCTGGTGAATTCTTACAAAGAATGGGAAGCAAACGTGCCATTGCAGCAGTCACCCCGAGCCAGGGAGCGCTGTAACATTGTATGTCCATGTGAATGAGGCTTCCGGCAGTTGATAACAAGGTACTA